GATCGGCTACATCGCTGCAGCACCACAGAAAATGCTCAAAAATAAAATATTCTAAATAATTCAATTTAATTACATGCAACATCAAAATATATGAGAAATTATTCTATGATCCAGTTCAATTGGACTCAACTAAATTACAATACACCAACTAGAGTAGAGAGATTATATTTTGAGTATTGTAAAACTCTAAAAAGTAAATCTCTGTTTAAAATATATTGTTGCTCAAATATTGACGAAAAACTTCGTAACAAACTAAGGAATAATGAACACAATGAGCAAATAAGCAAACAAATAACTAAATAAGAACATACATGTAAGTGGTCTTGAAACTCAATTCTTTCCAGTCCAGCAGATTCTGAACCATAAGATCTTTTGCCTGCATAAAAACAAAAAAGACAAATCTTTTGAGGTGTCTTTTGAGGTGTCTGTACACCGCATGCAGCGAAACATTCAACTTGAATCGAAGTTGAAGAAACATGGAGATATTTCTGTTAATCTTTCAGGGAAAAGAAAATATACCTTTTTTCTTTTTTGCCGCTCTTCTTCTGCAGCTCGCTTCCCTCTTGACCCCATATATTCTGCAAATGTTTGCTTCCTCTCTCCACGCGTCAATATTGAAAAACAAGACCAACGCCGATCAGATTCGAGGATTTTCGAGGCGTTTTCCCAGCTGATCCTCGGAGGAAACTTCTTTAGCTCGAATAATTTCTGAAAAATGTTTGCAAAATCGCGAGAAAAACAAACGAAAACAGAAAAACATTTCTGCTGCACATCTGCCGCTGCAACATGAAGCCAAGCAAACTATCTACCACTGAGGCTCTCTTGAACACTACATTATAAAACAGCACCACAGCAATGCAGCTCTGCTCTGCTCCTCTTGCTCTGAATTCATCCGACTCACGACAAGAAATGTTTTTGCTTCATCTTTGGTTTTAAACTGCGGCCAATCTTCTCGTTCCTCTTTGAGGGACTGGAGCAAACAAAAAACACCAGAAAACGCACGCGAAGTATGTATGCATGCATGCATGCATGCATGCACCGTAGCCTCCTTAAGCCAATGAAAATTCAGCTAAAGACGAAGGGCAGAAGCAACACATATAAGCGGCAGCAGCAGCAGGAACAGCAGCAGTAGCAGCAGCAACAGCAACAACGCACCTTCAGCATTTCCTCTACTTCTTTGGGTGTATTCCAAACGCTGCGTTTCGTCGCGCTATGAAACCAATAACTTTTCCCATCTGCACTTGAAAACTCCTGCCATCCTGTCTTAAGCAAAATCTGCGCCTCCTCAGGTGTCTGAAGAGACAGCGGCTTCCCCCACTGGCTCTCCTGTGTCTGTACACCCCAAGTAAACGCAGAGCAAATAGGAATTCGATGCTTATTCTCTGTTTCTGCATTACTACTGCAAAGACGAAGGAGAAAAGATATAATATATATACATATATATATATGCTATTACAACGCCCGACAGACAAACAACTCCTCCTGCCGCATGCAACTTAGGAGAACCCACAGAAGCGGCCACAAGCAAAGCAGCAGCAAAGCAGCAGTAGCAGCAAAGCAGCAGCAGCAGCAGCAGACGCACGAGAGTATTGTAGTAATATTTTCTCCCCTCCTTCGATATATGCTCCGTCCAGCCATCTCCGCTGGTAATCAGCGAGGGATTTGCAACGAAGGGATCCATCATAGGGCGCAGCCTGAAGTAAGAAAAGAAGAATAATAAAAGTGAGTTGAAAGACAAATGATAAAGAAATAAAATAAACTCAGCGCTAGGAAATAGCTGCCTATACACCCCAACACCGCAACACTCACTATCTGAGTTGCAACAATTCAAACAGGCGAAAGAAGACGTTGAGACGCATGCAGCAGCACCTGCATGCACCTCAGCTGTGCTGCTGCAGCACTGCAGCATACACCGCCCCTAAAGGGGACAGCAGCACCAGCAGAAGCAACAGAAGCAGCTCTGATTGCAATACCCATGTAAAACCCTACATGCAACGGCTTCAGGCCGGAAACTCGCAGGCTGCCTCCAGTTGACGGGCTTCAGCCGAAGCAGCAAAATGGAGTTGCATGCAAAAAGAAGTTGAGCAAACAAAGAAGAAAAACAAAACAGAACTAATAACAATACTGCAGACAGATATACTGTGAGCTCTAACAGAATGGCAGTCCTAAGGGATTCTTTCTGCGTAGATACACCGAAAGGCTGATGAACTAATGCAAGCTGCAGCAGCAGCAGCAGCAACTGCGACTAAACGACTGTAAGAGCTGCTTTAGGAATCAGTAGTAGTGATGAAGAGGAAGAAGGGAAGCTAAAGTAAATTTAGAAGGAAGACGAACGCCTACATCTATGGCGGTTGGGCTCTCCAGCTAATCGCTCCGCCACAGAGGGGACGGCCGCAGCAGCAGCAGCAGCAGCAGCAGCTGCTGCTGCTGCTGCGGCGGCTGGGCCCGCAGTCTGTTTGCGACTCCATCGATGAATGAATGACGACTGATAAATGAGTACTGGCTTGAAGATGCATAATCTCGGCAGCAACGGTGAAGTGTGTGCGCTGACGTGAAGACAACAAACAAACACCAGAAGGACGGCCTCTGCTACACCAACCCGTTTACTTCTCGCGTTTCATGCTGCTCGTCAAGACAGAACAATACAGACAAATGCAAGAGAAAACCCTCATCTGCCTAAAAACAACTCAAATACATCTCTCCAAGGGGCTCCGTCTCCAGTGGCGACCGAACAAAAGTAAGAGGAAATCCTCTCAAACATATTCATACACTTGTAAGCAGCGCTTCTGCAAAACTCACCATCAAGTCGTACAATAAGAAACGAGGCTCTATGTGCAACGCCGGTTCCTCCCCAGCAGGAGGGTGAGGGGGCTCGTACGAGATTCGCTCACTAGCTGGCAGTACAAGGCAATAGCAATCCATGCATCGCGAGTAAAAGATTAAAAAGACAAAGATTCAGCTCCATAATAATTGGCAAACTGAAAGTTTCTACCAGTCTCAAAGGCACGACTAGTCTGAGAAGAGCAGAGCTGCACATACACCCCGTGAGCTGCACGCACCTGAACATGAATTCTTGCAGGTTTCGTTGGAATTGGATGCTGCTGAAGAAATAAATGCTGCCTTTTTATCTATTGCAGCTTTTATATTCAAGAAAGCTGCAACTGGGAGCTGTTGAATCGGCCAGAGGCCTCGCCTTCTTGAACGGCAACGCCCTCCCTCGTGAGGAAACGCAGAGGGAAAAGGGAGAAATCTTTGAAGATCTGTGCGCTATTTCGCACTCCGGGACAAAGAAAACCTCAAAAGTATTCAGAAAAAGAGCAAAACAAGATATTCAAATTTTTCGCGTTTCAGTTAAAGATGAAAGAGAAAAAAGAAGAGCCGCCGCTGCTCCGGCAAAAGCCCCGTGCGTCCCCACGGTAGGCTCATCTTCTCTTGAGTATGGGTATTGTCTCATTGCATGCACTTATTGTATTAAAACCTCTAATTCAATCTTTGATGCATTCATTTTTCTTCAGTTTCTCTACTAGATGCACCAACAAAAGAAAGTCTAAACGTGCTGTTGTTCTGCTGACTGCTTTCCTGCTCGACCCCTGGGAGTTGCGGCTACTGCTGTTCTATTGATTCATTAATTCTATTTTTCTCTTCTTTTCTTCTGTTCTGAATACGCACAAGAGGGAGGCGCACAGCTGTCTTACAACTGCACTCTACAGTGCCCTTGTAGCTGCTGCAGCTCCACTGCAGCAACCACTACGCTGCTGCTTGTGCTGCTGCTGCTGCAGCAGCGTATTCGTTCTGCTGCTCAGCTCCTTGTTCTAAGAGGCACCCCCTCATGAAGCCTTCCCGAAAGCAGCAGCAGCAGCAGCAGCAGCAACGGAGGCACTGTTGCTCGTAAGCGTCTCTAGGCATTAACTCATGAACAATTGCAGATATAGGAATGATACAAGGAAGTAGTGGCTTAGGGGGCCCCCCTTCCCTGGGGGCCTCTGCGGGGGTTTTAGGTGCAGATATGGAGGGCCTCTACTCCGACATGCAGCAGCAGCAGCAGCAGCAGCAGCAGGGTGGTGTGTTATCTTCTCATCCAGGTGAGTTGTGCTGCTCCTACTGCTTTCTCTCTCTCTGTTTTTCTGTATATATTTTGTTTGATTGTTTGTATTTTTTAATTAGCAAGAAGGATATACACAGCAGCAGCAATTACAGCTACTACCCCTCCAACGACGTGGCTGTGCTGCATTTGCTGCTGCTGCTGCATTTGCTCCTTTTGCATTTGCTGCTGCTGTTGTATTTGCTGCTGCTGTATTTGCTGCTGCTGTAGCATTTTCTGCTGCTGAATTTGCTGCATGTGCTGCAGCTGAAGACCCAGCTACAGAGTTTTTTATTATCCGATCTTGCTCCGAGTACAACGTGCAGGTGGCGATGCAAATGAGCGTCTGGGCGACAATACCTCGAAATGAAGCGCGCCTGAGTCAGGCTGTCAGGGTTAGTAGAGCAGCAGCGTGTTATGGGTGGTGGGGTTGCTCGCTTGGTGATGCTGCGGATGCTCCTGCTGCAGCTGCAGCTGCTGCTGCTGATCCTGCTGCTGCAAAAGCTGCTGAGAATGCTGCTGCAGAAGCTGCTGCGAATGCTGCTGCAGAAGCTGCTGCGAATGCTGCTGCAGAAGCTGCTCTTGCTGCTGCGGATGCTGATGCTGCTGCTGCTGCACTGTGCTGTGTTGTTGTGGTGGGGTTGTTCTTAGTTTGTCGCTGCAGCTGCCATTTTGCTGCTGCATCTGCTGCAGCAGTTGCTGCTGTTGCATGTGCTGCTGCATCGAATGAGTTTAATTGTCTTTATTTTGTTTGTTTGTTTGTTTGTTTGTTTGATGTTTATTTTATTTATTTCTTAGGAGGCCCCGCATGTGCTGCTCTTCTTCAGAGTGCAGGGCGCGCAGTGCTGGGCTGGCTATGCTCGCATGCGTAACGCACCAGGTAAGAAATAAATAAATTAATTAACAAATTAATTAATTAATTAATTAAAGTAAATAAATAAGACAGGTGAATTATATAAAGACAGAAGAAGATAATTATATAAAGATGTACAATAAGAAGAGATATCATACAAATGCAGCAGCAAAGCGTTATTATAAAGACTGACAATAAAAAGAAAAGAACAAAGGATTATATAAAGACATACAATAGCATTAATTGTCGCTGCTGCATCTGTTAGTGCATGCGTTTGTTTGTTTGTTTGTTTGTTTTGCTGCTGCTGTTTGCTGCAGGAGAAGGCAGCAAACCCTCCAGTGTCTTCTCAGGCCGCAGCGGGAGGCCTTTTGTCGGTTTGTCTTTTGATGTTGACTGGCTAAGCAAGTGAGGGTTTAGGGTTTAGGGTTTAGGGTTTAGAGGTTGGTTAGGGTTTACAGTTTAGGGTTTAGGGTTTACAGTTTGGGGTTTAGGGTTTAGGGTTTAAGATTTGGGATTTATGTCTTGGGGTTTGTGGTTTAGGGTTTAGGGTTTATGTTTCATATCTTTTGACTCCGCCTATGCGTTCGTTGTTGCTTATTTCTTTTCTTTACCTGTGGCGCTTAGGAAGGCTTTAGGGTTTAGGGTTTAGGGTTTAGGGTGATTAGCAGCAAAATGTTTGTATTATTTTTGTTTGCTGCGTTTGCTGCGGTGTACGTACACCGCATGCAGGACCCCACTGAGCGTCGATAGGACGCGCAATCTTTTTAATAAATTTAACAACGGCGAATCAGTCAATAGAGCGATGGACGGGCAGGTAAGCAGCCTAACACCAACACCAGCAGCAGCAGCAGCAGAAACAGCAGCAGCAGGATAAGCAGAAGCAGAAGCACAAGTAGCAGCAGCAGAAACTGCAGCAAAAGAGCAGCAGCAGGAGAAGCAGAGGCAGCAGCAGCAGCAGTAGCAGCAGCGGAGCAGAAGCAGAAGTAGAAGCAGCAGCAGCACAACCAGCAGCAGAACCAGCAGCAAGAGTTTAGTTCTATATCTTGTTTGTTTGTTTGTCTTTTTTTCTCTTTGTTCGCGTGGGTGTGCAGACGTTCACTCGCGTTTTATTTCTATTTTTATAATATCTGTTTGTTTTATTTTATTTGTTTTATTTGATATATTTATTTTATTTATTTATTTTTTTATTTTGTTTATTGCATGTATTGTCGGTGAATATTTTTATTTTATTTTTTTGTCTGATTTCTTCGTTTGCGTATTTATTACAATAATAATAATATTATTATTATTATTATATTTTGTTATTTTTGTAGTATATTATTTCATCTTAATTTGTGCATTGCATAATATAATAATATATTTATAATTTGTTTGTATATTTTATAATACCTTAATTTATATTATTTTCTGTATTTCTTTGCTGCTGCTGTGTACAGCCCGTTGATCCGCATGCAGGGCGTCTGCTTGCATATTTATTTCATTCTTCTAAAGCAGCAGCAAATTCTCTTGACTCCTTTGCAGATCTAAGGCCTCCTGCTGCTGCTGTTGCTGCTGCTGCTGCTGCTGCTGCTGCTGCTGCTGGGAATGGTACGAGCAGCAGCAGTGCCTTGCAAACTGCAGCGGCTCCTAGGATGCAGCAGCAGCAGCAGCAACAGCAGATGCTTATGATGAGAGCAGCAGCAGGGGGGCAGCGGAAGAAACAGCAAACTGTGAAAAACCAAATAACAGATATGAGAACCCCAGCAGGTATATATATATATATAT